GGCAAAACTCTTTGTGTCAACCTTGGCCTTGGGCCTCCGTAATTCTTTCCTGAGCAGCATCCCTGGCCTCTCCCTCCCACTCCCACTCACTGGTGACAACCAAAAAACGTTTCCAGATGCTGTCAAATGTCTCCAGGGGACCAAAACGGCCCTTGGGTGAGAAGCACAGGGTTAAACTAAGAAAGCCAGACTATCATCATCTTGAGCTACAGTCAGTACAGAACAATTAGTGACACAGTTTGCATGTTTTTTGTTTCATACTATGTTGGAAACCCGGTGGGCACGGTTTCCCCCCCGCACGTCTCAAGTCAGGCCGGCCCCTTCGTAGGTGCTCCGCGGCCACGCCTGGCGGGGTGGCGGCTCCCACTCCCCACTCTCCTTCTGTGCTGTTTTAGGGGAAGCACCTTCTCTGACCCTTTATTTTAAATACACAGAAAGCTCGTCCTTGAAAATGGAAACCAGGCCATAAAGGTCCGTGGGGTTTTTTCCTACTGAGAGAAAAGAAATGGGCCTAGACAGTCCTTCGGTCTGAAAGACCTTCTGCGAGCAGCCAGTGATAACTTGGAAACACCGGCCCGATTTTTCAAAGCTGCCATTTCTCCTTTCCTAATGAGATGCCCTTACGCTTGCCCACACCATCCCTCATACTTGTCCGCGGCATGACAGATGGTGCCACATGTGTCAGCCATGTCGTCCACGAGGATGGCCACGCGGTCCTTCACGTCGCCCACCAGAACCATCCGGTCCACTTCGTTCGCTTTCTTCCTCTCTTTGTGAATCAAGGCAAATTCCACATTCAGCCTGTCTGCGATTGAGGTGACCCTGTTCGAAGACACAGAGAGACGTGTCAAATCTTGTCATTATGAAGAAAAGCGCTTGTCATTCAGTGCTGTATTCCGGGAAGGCAGTTAACCGACCACACTCAAGACAGCGAGGTCATCGGGTCTCACCTGGGATGTGCACTAAGCAATCCACAGGGAGAGACGCGTGCTGACGTGGCCTTGCGCCCGTGGCAGCCAGTGACCACTGCCGGGCGCCTGGATAAAACTGGCCAAAACCGCAGACTGAGAAATCCATACGCCACCTGTTAGTGTTCGTGCGACTTTTTAAAAAAATCAGACACATGTTGAATCACCATACTATCCACCCGAAACTAATGTAACGCCGCATGTTAGCCAGCTGAAATTTAAATAAAAACATAAAAAAGGGGGCGCCTGGGTGGCTCAGTGGGTTAAGCCGCTGCCTTAGGCTCAGGTCATGATCTCAGGGTCCTGGGATCGAGGCCCGCATCGGGCTCTCAGCTCAGCGGGGAGCCTGCTTCCCTCTCCCTCTCTCTCTGCCTGCCTCTCTGCCTACTTGTGATCTCTGTCTGTCAAATAAATAAATAAAAGCTTTAAAAAAAAAAAGTAAAAAAGAAGCACAAGGAAACAGCTGTATGTTTAACAGCATGAAAATACAGTGTATATGAAAAACCAATAAGGAAAAAAGATCACGAAGAGACAATTTAAATCAAGTTATTTACGAACCGCGACTAGCTCAGTTTGTGGCATAGCCAGTGGGGACAAAAGTCCCGGCTCACAAATCCACATAACATGACAGCGAAGGAGAACAGGCTTCCCTGCACCAGGGACCTTGGGACTAGTAAACTGTGAGTTTCTCTGCTCATCTGCGGCAAATGCTCCAAAGTGGCCCACTCAGGAAGGGCTGGGCTGGCAAAAAAGGGAGAAGGGGGCAGGCCAGACATCTCAGTGCGCCCGTGGCATCTGGCCATAGCTCTTCTCTTCCACGTACGCGAGACTCAGTATATGTTCCTACCAAATGATGGTGATCCAGGGTATCACTCAGGATCTTACCCAGAAAAACCTAGAACAAAATATACAGTTTCCTTGCCATTTCTTCTCAACATGTGTTTCCATTGTTTCCAGAAGAAAACAACAGAAGTTCAATCTGAATCCGTTTCACCAAGTTCCCAGCCTGGTTCCGTGTTTACACCAAGGGTGAGCTCCCTTCTAAGGGTTCACTTGCCCTTCAGCAGTCAGCCCCACTGAGCTTCGGAGACTACCCAAGAGTGCCCTCTTGTGGCAATCGTTTTACCTGCAGCAAGTCAAGCTTCAAAGCTTTTAACTAAGGCAGCGGGTTCCAACGAGTCTGATACCCATCTTCTTTGGTGAGATGACTTTCATTGCATGGAGCAAAGATGCCACTGACCATGTCCACTGCATGTATCACGGGGCACCTGTGCAGTGGTTCTGTCAGTTGGGGACCAGCTTACCCCAAAAGAGGAAGAAGCTAATGACATGTAGCAGAAACTTTGTGGAAAGGGAAAGAAGGTGGCAATAAAATCCGCAAGAGCCGCTCCTAAAACGCTTGGCTTTGCTGGCAGAGGGAGCGGGGTGGCTGAGTGGGACAGCCTTGAGGGGGATCTGCAAAAAAACAGCAACTCAGCACTGGCCACTAACTCTGGTTAGTTGATTCTGCACTTTTATTTTTTTTTTAAGATTTTATTTATTTATTGGACAGAGAGAGAGATCACAAGTAGGTAGAACAACAGGCAGAGAGAGAGGGGGAAGCAGGCTCCCTGCGGAGCAGAGAGCCCGATGTGGGGCTCGATCCC